ATTTGAAAGAGTTGTTGGGCTCCAGTTGTGGAAGACTTTAGTCAACTGGTGAGGCAGCCAAAGCATGACTTTAGTTTTGCTGTTGGTGGGAAGCCAGAGCTCAAGTGTGAGTAGGAGAGAGCTGATCCCTGGAGCTAAGCTTCAGAAAGACGAATCTGGCTGTAGACTGCAGATGGAAACATGAGTAATAGGTCCAAATAAGAGTGCTACTTCCACAGGGACATTATTAAAGGCAGACATTGGGGATGAAAAAAAATAGCTGTGGGAAGTAACGTGCATAAATATTTACACAACTTGGCTACTGAAAAGTAAAGAGAAATTTCATTGATATTTTATGTATAGAAATGTACCACAAAGCAATATATTGCTGTAGCAAAACTGCACTTGTAGCCCATAAATATATCTTTAAAAATTCTCTAGAAAATAGTTTGTTAACAGAATTCACTGATGTACCTAATTAATTCCCAGAGCCTAGAGTCATGCAGTAACGGGCCTTAATAAATATTTGTTTTCGAAGGAATAGATTATGGTTAACACATTTTTAGATTGAAGGGAATGGAGAAAAATAAAAAGGCAAAATGTATGTGTCACTACATGTTAATTTTTAATCTTTTAAATATTTAAGGGAAAAGGGAACCATAGAATCTGGATTTGGGGATGTGGCTACCAACAGTTAAAATTCATCTAAGCTTTTATAGACCAATAGACTAATTACCTTACACTTTGTTGGCCTATTGGTTGCTATAATAGCACTTTCCTATTGGCCAAACCTTCATGTCCTTTGCTGCAATTTAAGAAATTGCCCCCTTGTTTTAATATTTTCTGGTGGTGAATGCTTCCTATCCCTCTAAACCTCATACAAAGCTTTCAAATTTGCTTTTGCTCATCAAGAGTAGATCTAAGCCATACTAGCCAAACCGATCCATTTGAACACAAATATCTGTAAAAAAAAAAAAAAAAATGGATTCTAGGATGAATGACCAACTGAAGATGATACTTTTCACAGCAACAAGGAAAAGTTAGTTGGATGGAAATCTAATTTCTAGGGATTCAATTTCTATCACTAGAGGTGGCAGAAAGAATTAAAGTCATCTTATTTTCTTCACCAACTTCCACTGACCAAGAGCAAAGATTTAAAAATCTGTGTAGCCTTGGAAACAAAATTTGAGGTTAACTAGACAATGGCTAAATTTGAATCAAGATTAAAACTTGGGTAAAAATTCTCAGGAAAATAGTCTCTGAGACAGAAGATGAATATATATATCTCTTTATTATGAGAAAAAAATGAAATAACACTTTGATCTCATGAAAATAAAAAATCCATTGAAACTTCTGCTCAGAAAGCTGATAAAATATTCTTAGCACACTAGAAAACATTAAAATCTATAGTTGATCCTTGAACAGTGGTTTGAACTGCATCAACTTATATGCAGATTTTCTTCTGCCTCTGCCACCCCTGAGACAATAAGGCCAATCCCTCTCTCTTCCTCCTCCTCCTCAGCCTAATTGGTATAAAGATGGTGAGGATGAAGGCCTTCATGATAATCCACAACTACTTAGTGAATAGTAAATATATTTTCTGTTCCTTATGGTTTTCTTAATTACATTTTCTTTTCACTAGCTTACTTTACTGTAAAAATACAATATATAATTCATATAATATAAAAAATATGTATTTGACTATGTTATTGGTAAGGCTATTGGTCAAAAGTGGGTCATTAGTAGTCAGGTTTTGGGGGAGTCAGAAATTATACTTGAATTTTCGACTGTGTGGGGAGCAGGCACCCCAATCCTCACATTGTTCAAGAATCAGCTGAATTTACTTCTGTCTTGTTTTCAAGAGCAGTTCATCAACTAAAATATATTCTGCATGATAAACTAGTTATTACTTTCTGAGAATAATAAATTCTCAGGAACTAGTCACTTTACAAAATAGCTTTTTTTGGAATTGACCATCAGTTAAATTTTATCTCACAGCTCGTCAACAGAGAAAAACAACTTGCTCTACTATTTAAAATGTGCTTACAGGTTGTTTGAACCAACTGGTCAGTTTAACCTAGCTATTCAAAATTTAAGAAGAAAATTTAAGAACTAAAATTATCTACAGTAATTTTCTTAGTCTTGACCACAGATTAGAATTACCTGAGAAGCTTTTAAACACCCAGATTACCTGGCCACACACAAGACTAATTAAATCAGAATCTCTGGGGACTGGGATCAAGCATGATTCCCTAGGAGACATCAATGTATTGTCAAGGCTGAAAACTACCGATCAAAATCAAAACACCCAAATGGGAAATTTCTGACTAGTGATTTTCATATTATTCAAATACCAAATTTTAAAAACGTTATCTCAAATAAAAACAAAAAAATGATTCCTGCTTTCAACTATTCAGCCATTCTACTGTTGAAGATTATTTGTGGCCTCAAGAATCCTGTTATAATGGCCAATGATCCTGACATACTTTTTTTAAGTATAACATGAAATCCATAAAAATGTGGAATATAAACTTTTTACTAATTAGTACTTATCAAACAAAGTAGGAAGTAAACATTAGGAAAATCACGATAAGAAAAGCGCCACCTGAAACACCATAAACCCAAATGTTTACTCAGCCATCTGTTTAAAATAGAGATAACATAAGAAGCTTAGCATACAGAAGTCTACAGCATTTGAGAGACAGGGTAACACTAGATCTGACAACCTCAAGCTGATCATTAGTTCTGTACTTGAACACCAGCACCTTAGCCAGCTGTGCACTCAACTGCAGAAGTTAGGTCAATGTTCTAGCATACTCTGTAAATTGGCAGGTATAATCAGGAGTTAAAACGATTCTCTCTTAGAACATCACAGGAATATGGGTTTCCTA